CCACCTATAATCACGTAGACGAAGCGTCAGAGTAACAGTTGATGGACCCTCGAGAATCAAGAGCACAGGCGGAACGGCGAGACTTGAACGGTCACCCATCTGCATGTGTTTGAAATTTCAAACGTTGGAGCCCAACGAAAATCCAAAAAAAAAAATTTTTGTTTTTGTTGTAAATAGCCCAATAAACCAACGGCAAGAGTTGTATAATACCGTAAAAAAAAAAAAATCAACATCAATCCATTTAAAACATAATTATGAACAATCAGAGAAACATACGTGTAAAACGAACATTAAGCACTACACCTCTCAGTAATACATGGTGAAAAAAATCCAAAATAAATATTTCTGCATACCTATGGTTGTGAAAAATAAATTAAGTACTTTATACGCCTCAAAAACATAACTTCAAAGGGCAATAAACTCCTGAAATTATGAAAAAGTCGGAAAACAGACGTTTTTACGCTACCTACGTCCATAAGGGGCTGCGATAATTGTAAAACGTATAAATATCCTTACAAGGTACTAAAACTAGTTGCCCTGATTTTTTTCAGAATTAGGAAACCTTACCTCACCGTTCAAAATGTTAGGATATTCAAGAGATTAGCCTTTTTTCTGCCATTTTCGGTCATAGTCAGCCATTAGGGGCCCATACAGGGTCTGAATGATTGTTATAACTGTCTTTGTATCACATTTGGTACTTACAGTCATTTTTAGTTCTTGGAAACATAACCTAGTTTAGTTATGTGATCTCAATGTTAGAAAAAATTCGAAAAAAACACGTTTTTACGCTACCTACGTCCATTAGGGGCTGCGATAATTGTAAAACGTATAGATATCCTTACAAGGTACTAAAACTAGTTGCCCGAATTTTTTTTTTAATTAGGAAACCTAACCTTACCGTTCAAAATGTCAAGATATTCAAGAAAATAGCCTTATTTCTGCCATTTTCGGTCATAGTCAGCCATTAGGGGCCCATACAGGGTCTGAATGGTTGTTATTACTGTCTTTGTATCACATTTATTACTTACAGTCATTTGTAGCTCTCGGAAACATAACCTCGTTTAGATATGTGATCTCAATGTTAGAAAAAATTCGAAAAAAACACGTTTTTACGCTACCCACGTTCATTAGGGGCTGCGATAATTGTAAAACGTATAAATATCCTTACAAGGTACTAAAACTAGTTGCCCTAATTTGTTTCACGATTAGGAAACCTAACCTCAACGTGCAAAATGTCAAGAAATTCAAGAAAATAAATAATTTAATCAATGTATCGTGTTAAAGTTTAACTAAATAATATGATGCAATCTTGATTTATAAATATTTTGTATTTTAGGAGGTGCAGCAGCTTTCCCAGCGCTTAAACTTTAGTGCACAGGCAGCCCCTCCGACGCCCAATGTTATGGTAGTGCTGAGCTACTAGCTATCGGCAGTACATGCTAGCATGCAAACGTACAGGCTGGTGACGCACCCGCACATTGCTTATATGTATAAAAAAAAATTGACAACAAATATAGATTTTTCCAAAAATTTCGTCTGATTATTTTCTTGAAGTTCTTTACATTTTACACGATAAGGTTAGGTTTTAGGAATCTAAAAAAAATCAGGGCAACTTGTTTTATTACCTTATAATAATGTCTGTAGGTTATACAATTATCGCAGCCCCTAATGGACGTAGGTAGCGTAAAAACGTGTTTTTTTCGAATTTTTTCTAACATTGAGATCACATAACTAAACGAGGTTATGTTTCNTTTTACACGGTAAGATTAGGTTTTTAGAATCTAAAAAAAATCAGGGCAACTTGTTTTAGTACCTTATAATAATATCTATAGGTTATACAATTTTCGCTGCCCCTAATGAACGAGAGTAGCGTAAAAACGTGTTTTTTTCGAATTTTTTCTAACATTGAGATCACATAACCAAACGAGGTTATCTTTCCGAGAGCTAGAAATGACTGTAAGTACTCAATGTGATACAAAGACAGTTATAACAATCATTCAGACCCTGTATGGGCCCCTAATGGCTGACTATGACGGAAATTGGCAGAAAAAAGGCTATTTTCTCGAATTTCTCGACATTTTGCACGGTGAGGTTAAGTTTCCTAATTCTGAAAAAAATCAGGGCAACTAGTTTTAGTACCTTGTAATGATATTTATACGTTTTACAATTATGGCAGCCCCTAATGGACGTAGGTAGCGTAAAAACGTGTTTTTTTCGAATTTTTTCTAACATTGAGATCACATATCTAAACGAGGTTATGTTTCCGAGAGCTAAAAATGACTGTAAGTACTAAATGTGATACAAAGACAGTAATAACAATCATTCAGACCCTGTATGGTCCCCTAATGGCTGACTATGGCCGAAAATGGCAGAAAAAAAGCTATTTTCTTGAATATCTTGACATTTTGCACGGTGAGGTTAGGTTTTCTAATTCTGAAAAAAATCAGGGCAACTAGTTTTAGTATTTTGTAATGATATTTGTACTTTTTACATTTATTGCCGCCCCTAATGGACGTAGGTAGCGTAAAAACGTCTGTTTTCCGACTTTTTTATATTTTCAGGAGTTTATTGCCCTTTGAGGTTATGTTTTTGAGGCGTTTAAAGTACATAATTTATTTTTTACAACCATAGGTATGCAGAAATATTTATTTTGGATTTTTTTTACCATGTATTACTGAGAGGTGTAGTGCTTAATGTTCGTTTTACACGTATGTTACTCTGATTGTTAATAATTATGTTTTAAATGGATTGATGTTGATTTTTTTTTTTTTACGGTATTATACACCTATTGCCGTTGGTTTATTGGGTTATTTACGACAAAAACAAAAATTTTTTTTTTGGATTTTCGTTGGGCTCCAACGTTTGAAACTTCAAACACATCCCATCTGCTTAACCTCGGACCAATATTTCAAGCTACATATTCTAATATTTATTTGAATGGTACACAAATATGTACATAAATATATTTTTTTTTAATCTGTAAATAATTTGGCCCTGTACCAATTTAATCTTTGCAGCAACAGTAACTGAAATCAGAAGAACAACATGTACTAAATCACTTTCAGACGGGTGAAAAGTTTTCTCTACTAATTTATATCACTGTATGTCGGCATTATCAGTGGCGTACAGCTAGTAATATAAAATTGTTGGTGCCGGTATAGTATGCGCTCCACCGCTAATGTGCGATCCACCCGTGTTCCACCGCTTTGTGCTGTAACACGGTAGGTGGAGCGCATATTCGACTAGTAAACGCAGGTGAAGCGCATACTTATACCGGCACCAAATTGTTCCCAAATTTTTAAATATTTCATAACATACCAAGATCTGTTAAAATCTCTACCTTGAATGGAACATAATAGACTTGTCTGTTTATTATACTATTAATTTAATAAAGTCTTTTCATACTTCACAAGAAATACAAATCTTTTATCCAATATTAAAGATACTTCTTATCCCATTATTTCAGTATCATTTCATAGACTCAAGTTTTTTTGTTACACATACTCTTCACCAGCACAACCCTGCTTTTTATTATTCAAAGTTACATTGGGAAACCCAAGTTGTTCTAGTACTGGTAGAAGGTAGTGGTATCTTGATGGAAATACACACATACTTGAATAAATATTTTTTCTCTGGATCTGATACATTGAATATTAAAAATTTAACTCAACAAATATTTAAAACTTGAGAAGCAATATTTCCTCAAGTTATATTAATACATAATAATTCTTATATAGGGTAGTCTTTTAGGAGAACCAAGTATTAACTTACTATTACTTTATCACTTACTATTACTTCACGAACAAATGGATCATTTTCAATAATTGTTATTTATCGCACCAATCAGGCACAGAATTTCTATTTAGACCATGTTCCATGCTATAGAAAAGGAAAGATACATAAAGAGGAAGAGATGTTTTGTAGCAAGAAATAATAAACTCCATGAATTGTTTCAAAAGTATATATCTTTCGCTGTTTGAAACAGTTAACTACAAAAATGATGGTATTACAAATTTAATGAAAGATGTAAAAAGTGTACATGTTAAAATAATGAGTACAAAATATTAATTACTTGTTTCATACTACTCTCGAAAAGGAAACAAATTATTACAAAAAATCATGTCAAATGGTGAGTTTCAAGGAGTGCGTAGACATTTGAAGTTTAGTCTTTAAGTAAAAAAAACACCCATCTAGTGTCTTCGAATATTTTAGCAGGAACATTGCGTTAGATGTATTAAGAAAATCTTTGACTAAAGTAACATTAAAGACTATTCAAACGTATACCCATACTTCTTGAACTATACCTATGCATGGATGACGAAGATAAACACTTTAGGTACATAAGGCTAATCGAAAGTCATTAATTTTCAAATAAACTAACTAGCAGTTAAAATTTTTGCCTGTTATGTGGATGAATAAAATTATAAAAATACTAATTAGCTTGTTTGAATACTGAACATGCCTTGATAGAAACTATTATCTGAACTAGGTCTGTTATTACTCATGCAAATTTGTAATCAAGTTTTTTACCTAGTAAAAGTGCATACTCAACAAGGTTTCAACATATTTTTCAGTAACAAATAACTTTTATGAAAGATAAATATAAAATTTACAACAAAGAGTATTAGCATCAGCACACCAAACCATGTGCTGCTAGTCTGAATACACGAGGTACTTTAGCATTTTCAAGTAAAAAATATTTATATAATTTTAATTCAATTAAGCTATTACTGTCAAGTAAAAATCGTTATTACCAAATTTGTTGAAAGTAACACACAAAAGCTATTAATGCAGAGCAAACGACCTAACCTCAAACCCAGCCGGTAGGTTTCCCTCAACTGAAAAGCAGTGATCAAAAAAGACTTAACATAGTGTACCCTACAGTTCTACGACTGCAGTTTTACTCTGAAGTGAGCTAAACAGCTAAACTCGAGGAAAAATATCACGAAAAAAACAGCTAGACCAATGAGCAGAGCTTGTATATACATCACGTTGCGTACCTTGATCAAGTAGTCGCTGAGCATTGGGCAGGCGACCGTTTTCGTCGAGGTTGAGCTTCTCCTGCATCAACTCGCGAATGTACTCGTTCGCCTTCTCCGAGAGCTGCCTCTGCTCGCCCTCCTCGTTCTGATCTTCCTTGGTGACACCATTGCGATCCGCCATTGTACAGAAAATTGACTAATTCGTTGGCAAAGACGACGAAGACCGGGTAAATAACAATTGACTAGGTACCTGTCCGCGACGACACGAGAGCACGACCTACTGGAGCGACTAACGTACACGAGTTTACTTAAGACGAACTATCGAGGTCGCGATTTTAGATAACGAACGTTGAGAAAAAAGACCAAGAGCGTGAAAAAGTGCAATCGCCTTGGTGAATAATCACTCGAGGGATTGTACCACACCGACACAAACGTCTACACGATATGCGAAGTTTGCGCAAATGCACGATGAACTCTTGAGCATCACAAATGGCGGCTGCAGCGGCTCTGTGCACATCAGGAATGACGCTTTATATATATATGACTGAAAGCTGAGCCCGATGTGTGTAAAAAAAAATTACTGCCGCAACTTCCACAAAAGTTGAGAAACTTTATTATCTGCAGAGATCCGAAGTATTGTTGTAAACTTTTATTTTGGACATAAGTTATATGGTAATATAAAAAGTGCCATATAGTCCATACGACATTGTTGCCGCAACTAAGTCCAATAGATACTAAAACAAAAGTTTTCTTCTCAAGATACCATTTGCGGCAGGGTTAGGACTCTTCTAGTATCTAAAAATGGCCCCCCCAAAAAGGTACCCCCCCTCCTCTACAAAAAAGTTAATGCCGCAACTTTCTCAAACGTTTTTTCATAATAACTTATGCCTAATATTACAATATAAGGTTATAGATAAGGTATTTTAGATAAGAAAATCGTTAAATCAACAAATAAAAAAATGGTAGTTTTCCTACGAGTTTGAAAAGTCTCTGTTTGCGAACCGAGAGGTTTGCGGCCCGAGCCGAAGGCGAGGGACGTAACGAGGTTCGTAAAGGAGACTTTTCGAACGAGTTCCGGAAAACTGCTTTTTCGCCCGCGGAAGTATCAGCCTCCCAAAACCACCCGAGGGCGGAAATGGTACATTACGTCACTAGGGCACAAAGTACAAAACTGAGCACCCAAAGGTCGTGCTTGTTGTAGGTTGGTGCCCGAGTCGCGTATAATGTTTTTCTTACCGAGGGCGCAAAGTGCAATTTTGCGCCCGTGGGCACACTTTGCGCCCAGTAAATCACTTTGGGCCCCAGGGCGGAAAAGTACGTTGGGCCCGGAGGGCACAAAAAACTTTTCTGCCCGTGTGCCCAAAGTGATTTATTGGGCGCAAAGTGTGACCCGAGGGCGCAAAACGGCAGTTGCACTTTGGGCCCATGCGGTAAGAAATAACTGCTTCGCAGGTCCCTTGGGCCGCAAAATAGCCCCGGAGACGATGGCACTTATCCGACGAAAACTACTATTTTTCTCGATCATGGGTATTTTTTACCGAAAAAAAATTCTAATTCATCGTTATTCACAATAAAATACGAAAAATACAATTTTTTTGCAGAAAAGCTCAATACATTTTGTATATTAAAGTTTATTGAAACATATTTCAAATTTTTTGTTCCTGAATAGTTCTTTCTTCAGAATATAATTTATTGTTTTAGCTAAAAAATTTTTGCTTGTCTTTATTTTACAATCAATAAAAATTAAACCATTAAATTTTTTTTTTTTTTTCTATCAATTGCTTATTTTTCTTTACGTATGTACACGCACTACAGTAAAAGATAAACAAACAATATTTTATTGTATTTTTAACAGTATATAGTTTTGCTGTACAATTATCTCGTATACTTAATGACTTTTTATTCAAGTTATTGTTTATTCCGACTTCTTTTATTAGTAAAAAAAGTACCATATTTTTCAATAAATAAATTTTATGGAAATAGTTTTTCATTCAACGTATATCATATTATATAAAAAAGTTCTATACATGTTACAAATATGATAAGACACGAAATCGGTTTGTGAATGCGTAGTTGTCTCAATTAAATTTTTCAATACATTTTAAATTAGAAAATTACCTCACCACAGGGAGCAATTAAGTACATATTCAAACGTCCGAAGGGTTATTGCGCCCAGCAAATCACTTAGGGCCCAGAGGAAGCTCTTGATATTTATTCGATTGGTTCATTGAATGTATATGATTTAAAAAAAAAAAAAAAAAAAAAAAACAATTTATAAATTTTGTCCTAAGCTTTAAGGTGGTTCTTCACCTAACCCATTTACTTAAACTTACAGGGAAACTTGGAGGGATTGTTATTAAAGTTATAAGGCATCTTCTCTTAAAATTTCAAGTCCCTTTATCAGGCAAATTTTTAAAAACAAGTCAGTCAAAAAATGCACTTTTAACATGTATTCTTATGTAGGTTACTTTTCCACACGACGATATCATGTAATATCTCGTAAGGTAGACTTAAGATCGTAATAGAAAAAGTTTGCAGTAAAAGAAGAACTTTTCAGCTTTCTGATAATATAACAAAAGTATGGGCTAATCAGGGAAATAGTATACGATATTTAATCGTAAACGTAATCAGTTATCGATCATGCAGAAATCGGCGGCAACGTCTGCTTGAGTAGGAGCGTACATGCCATTTTCAGAACCTTGCGTCAAAAAAAAATTTTTTTATAACTCTTACTCTAACTTTATTAGCTTGTTTATTGGTATGTAAATGCAATGATATTATAGTCAAGTGCCAGTACAACATATTTTATGTTGCAAATAATACGCTAATCGAAAATTAGAAAACCACAGGGTGCCGTGTCGCTTTGATACGGCACCATCGTGAAGAACCACCTTAAGCCGCGCTGTTTTCCTTCTTGAAGGTCAGCTGTTATCCCCATCTTTTCTCAGTACTTGCACCAGTAAGCCATATTTTAGTCTTTACTCTTGCGAACCTGCACAGATACCACACACGCACATTTAAGTAAGTCACATTCGACGACGTCGCAGATCGGTACACTAATTAAATAGAACGGTCTCTCTTATTAGCGTAAGAACTGCGATAACTGCGCTACTTTTGGCGTGAAGCTGATAAAATTAGAACATGTCACACTAAACGAACGGTCACTAATACTTATTTAGTCATACCTGAAACTGCGGAAACTAACGGTCGCACTTAGAGAGTGAAATAAGTATAAAAAAAGTCAAAGTGACTATATCGATTCAACTGTGTTAAAATAATACATTTGAGGAGCTTTCGATAAAAAATATAAAATGTTAAGTAGGTAATACTGGAAAAAAATTACGTTTTTTTTTTTTTTAGAACATCATATGAATTTTTCAATAATCTTTTCTACACATATTTTCAAGAAAAAAAAACATTTAATGCTGCAATTTAACACAGGCTCTTATTGTGGTTACTCATAGAATTTTATTAAATGTAACTTTTTTAAAGATTTTTCGTATGAGTTTGTTTATGCTCTTATACTTTTTTAATACATAGCTTATATTTAATGAACTTACAAGGAGAAATTGTTGAATTGCTTTTCGAAAGTTTTGGTGTATTTCAATGGTAGATTAAATACAATGCAATTACGGATTCCAGTAAGTGTATATTATGTCAAATTGTGGAATCAAATCATTTTTTTATTTTTAAAATATATCTGGAAAAAAAAGAGTCAAAAAATTCATACGCACATAATATGTTCTTCAAAAAACGTAATTTTATTTCAGCGTTATCTAACATTTTTTTATTTTTTGCCGAAACCTCCTATTCTAATATTAAACATTTTTCATACAATATCTAGAGTGTCACACATGTTGATCACAAATTTAACAAACTTTCATGTATGATCAAGTTGTGCTCGAGGGTTTGTTGTCCTGAAGCCTTCGCACATTAAGTAGTTTTTACCATTTAAATTTGTACAATTTCAGAGAAGTCGAAAATATATTAAATATTCATGAATGTCGTATTGACAGAGAAATCACACTTATATTTGCAATATGGCTCGGAAGATTCAATTCAAAGCTGGAGTTGTAACAAAGAAAGTCACCGAAATATAAATGTGTGACATTTTACAATTAAACATCATTGGAAATGATTCGACATTTTTATAAGTCAATAACCTTCAGAAAATAGACTGAATCATTGTTTTTCCCTGTAGGTTTAAAAAAAAAAAAAAGTTTTTTATCTTTAATGAATTGCACTGAGGTAAATGTAAGAGTACCTAAGTAGATTAACGTTATCCGTTAATGCGTTATCCTTATTACGTTTAACGTAATCCTCTGTGTACCTCTTAAACTTTCTCGGCAGCTCGTCGATTAAAATACGATAAGCCAGAAAATAGAGTCGAGCGATGCTACTTTTACAATCCAATTAACTGCGGTCACGCTTGTATACTTCCACGCGGGAAAAGAGTAAAAGACGCCACTTGTACCAACACTACGAAAAAAGAGCTTACGTAGACATGTGGGTGTGTGGAGTAACTACACCACACAAGAGTAGGTTTGGAAAGCCAAAGCGTTGCACGTGCTTGCAGAACCTTCTTCAGGGGGGAAATGCTTAAAGAAAAGTAATTTTTATCGATTCTCAATAATACAAAAAGTGCTTGCGGATATTGCCGGATGGTGGCCCAAACGCATCGTTTCTTTAATATAAGTCGTGCTTCAACTCGAAAAACAAATAAAACCAAGAGCAAAACAGTCTTGCCTTGAATTTAGAACATACCTACGTGATTTATCTGGTATTTAGTAAAATGCCGAGTCTATTATTTCCTATGGNATCCAGCAGCCGTGCGCAGCATGTGTTTGTGTGTGTACAAGCTCGTATACTTTTTTTTCGTTTATATTATAGTACACTACGTCCTTCTCTGGGCACTCAGCACTTTGGGGACTGGGAAGCGATGGGGTTGGTAAGGGTGTTGAGGATTCCGTTCCACATTCACCAGGATAATCAGTCCTGTGGGTGGGGAAATCACTCGGGAAGAACCCATCCCGGAACGGCCGGTGTATTGCCTAAGTTCCGAACAAATGTCTATATTGTCTATAGACACATTAGGCCTGAACTTTTGCACACCTCCCGCTCACCTTGTCGTAACCATAAAGAGACAGTCAATCGATCTGAAAAATCACCAGCGCAAGCGAACGGAATAATAGTAGAGCGGTCACCCATCCGACTACCAACCGCGGCCAACTCTGCTTAACCTTCCAGATCAACGAGACTGCAACTCTACCATCTCTGCGCCACCGTGTCGGTACGAAATATGTTTATTTTCTAATCGTGTAGAAGAGTATATAAAAGAAGAAGAAAAAAAAACGGGTTGCGTCACATGTGACGCACCGCAGAAGTAAGAACTTCGGAAACATGTAAGTAGTTATATTTGGTCCATCTATCTGTCCGTTCGCAATTTTGCGTTTTTTAAATAATTTTTA